ACCAAAAACACATAAGACCGTGGAAAGAAGGAGAGAGAAATGTCATAAAAAATCAATCTTGTGTGTCTATCTCTCATACTACATATGCACCGTGCACATTGTAGCATTGGAGATGCTCTCACCTATCTACACTATGACTTTTTTTTGAAAAATCTGGTATTGGGTTAATCTAGTTTGAAACTTCGAAATTTTTATTATATTAATTTTTAAACCTATTACATTTAGATCATTAGATGAGTTTATAATTATATGGATATGGAGAAACTGAGAGCAAATATCCTACCCTTCATTTTAACGAAGTTACATCAGACTTCAGAGTGTATAGTAATATTCAGTTGTACGTATTTTTAAATTATAAATCATGTTCCAATTTAATAAAGTGGGAATTAGAATTTTAGAATTAGTCATTGTATTCGAAATTATGGTTTTCCAAATTCTCTCCTCTAGAATTGATGCATATGCCTGTTTTTGTTCCAAAGTAATTAAAGACAGTTTGTATACCATAGCTAAAATGTTGAGCTTGTCAATGACTCATTTGTCATTAGTTTAGATGAACACGATTCACTTCTTTAATTTAATTGTAAGCAAGATTTACTTGAGTTGGTAATTTATATGATTATGTTTGATTTCAATATTTGTACTTAAACCATCTTTTACCCAAAAATAAGTGTGTGATTGAATTGAATTATAAATGTATGATTGTATCGTTTATGGGTGTAATTACATTTGAAGTGGCTCCATTTACCTATGAAAGAGCAATTATACCGTTATACGTAATCTTTAATGAGTTACGATATATTTTCCACTTGCAACTCTGCAAGTTGATTGGATAACTAGCTAGGTTAGAACACATTAAAATCAGCAGAAACAAATAACAATGACAAGTAATTCAGATCCAGCAAGTTCAGTATTGATTTATTTGTGTTTAATTTATTAAATTGAGTATTTTCCGTCTGCTCATTATCATCATCACCTCAATGCCGCAAAGGCTCCCTATGGTGGGGTAAGGGAAGTCGGATGTACACGGTCTTACACATGTACTAAAGTACAGAAAAATTGTTTCCGGATGACTCATAGTAGATATCTTCTTATTTAATAAAAAATATAGAATCTGACCAACATAGAACTTAATATGTTGTTTGGGTAATAATAATTCAAGCTCAATGAATTTGGATTATTCATTCTAGGTATGTGTCTTTTACTATATGGATAATGTTGGTGTTACGAATTTGGCTTAACCTTTCCATTTTGGTCTTTATTAAATGTGCCTAGTTTACGAATACTATTTTAATAATATTATGATATTAATATTAGGAAACGTTATTGGTTAATATAATTTGTAATGGCCTTATACTAAAAAATGTCAAAATATCTTTCACATAACAAAACTTATGAATATACTTGGAAAATTGCGCTGAAAATCTAAAAAACAGTGAATTGAATGAATGTGTAACCAATATCCACAAATAATGGAATTAGGTGTACAGATTATATTGAGTACTGTTAGGATTAAATCAATGCTTCAAAAAATGTTTCATTGTTCACATCTTTGAAGCATACGAAAGAAATATAAATACTATCCTCCGTCTCTTTTTAATCGCAACATGTTGACTTTTTGCACTATTCACATGATCTACTTTGACTACATTTTACACTATTATTTTATGGAAATTATTTTTTAAAAAATATATTTTTCAATTCATCTCATTTTAAATTTTCAAAATCTGATTTTTAATATTTTTTTATTAATAGAGATTAAGATATACTTATGGTCAAACGTGTGCGTTGGCAAATGTGCAAAGGTTGACTGTTGCAACTAAAAAAGAACGGAGGAAGTATTACAATTAATAGTAATGAAGAGGAATCAAGGTATTGGTGTTGAATCTCTCATTCCATTAACATATTAACAATATGGTACTACTTCCGTCCCGTTGAAAGGTTCCCATAGCAAAACGACACGGTTATTTAGGTGATAATTAAATAAAGTACTTCGAGTATAATTTGAGAAATAATTTTAATGGGTATATATTATAATGTGTTAGTATTGATAATTGTGATGTTATAAATTTATTATTTTTAATATTTAGTGACGAATTTGTCACTTAAGATTGTTAATTGTTTCCTAAAATGGAAATGGGAACCTTCTAACGGGACGTTAAAAAAAGGAAAGTGGGAACCTTCTAACGGGACGGAGTATATCTACTGGTCATGGACGCAAGCCGGGCCGGGCCTAGGCCTGGTCCAGCTTTTGAGGGTTGGGGGAAGGCCCGGAACCGGCCCTGGTTGCCACCAGGTCTAGGCCAGGCCTCGGGCTTCTTAATTTTTTTTCTTTTCTACTTAACCCCCGACAACCCCCTCACCCCCCACCCCCCAAAACACCCAGCCCAGCCCGGAATAAACAAACAAAATTGAAAAAACAAAAAATAAATAAAAAAGGCCCGAACCGGGCCCGGCCCGGCCAGTTGTCTTTTGGGTGACCCGAGCTCACACCGTTTAACCCCCAGGCCGGGCCTACCCGGACCGGTCTCTGGCCACCGGTTCGGGCCGGTTCCAAACAGTGCCGGGCCAGGCCGGTTCCGGGTCGAGCCACCCGGCCCGAGTCCATGCATGCCTAATATCTACACATGCATGGCATGTAGTAGAAACATTCACCTTAAATAATACTTAGAGGATAGCTTCATCTAGTTGCTCCCAAGATGATTTGTAAAGTTCATCTAAAGTTGAGCACCGCATAATCAAACATTATAAGACACTGCATATGAAAAATAAAGTTCCATACAGAACGCAAAACCAAAAAGGAAAAGGTTTAGAAGTAATAAAATAGTCGTCATTTATTTACTCTTCCAACACTCCCAACAGGAAATATTTCAAAGAGATCAAACTAAATGACACACTCACAGATGTGGGCGGGGCGGGGCGGGGCGGGGGTGGTTGCAAATGGTAAATTTCTTTCCCCATCTAGATCCAAATTTTGAGACAAGATTCATATACTTATTTTTAACATGAAAATGCTTTAAAAATTTGCTACTAAGTATTGGGTAGTTCTAAATGCAACCACACAATTGCTATTCACAGCCACTAATTAAAATTAATACCTACTCTATCCTCACGCCAATTGCTATTCACGCCAACCTCACACTCCTAGACAAAACTTGGCCACCAGAGAAAGAAGTAAAGAATCAGTGGTGTACTTCGAATAGTATTCCACAGACCAACGACTTCACCACATAGGGGATTCTAAGACAACTAAATCCGCCTCCATGGATGACGGAACAATCTGGTTGGGGCCTTTGCATCTTCCTTCCAGGAGGAAACCAGCTGCTTGCATCCATGACTCAAATTCACCAGCCTCCTCAACGAACAAACCAAATCTTCCATCGCCATCAGGCAAGACATCGATTCCGGCAACCGCCCACCCTTGTAACTCACATCCAGAACCTGCAAATCCGTCCACAGCCCAACCCCTTCTATTCCATTTTAGTGAAGTAATTCCACTCTAAACCGATCAAAAATTCAATTTGCCAAACTCATATCTCAATAGATGAAAAATCTAATTTAGCTCTCATCACCATACCTCCAACCTGTTTTTTGTCAATGAACAGTCAAAAGGTTATATCTGATTCTTCAGAGCCGAGCAGCCAAGTTGCGGCAGTTAGACTCTCAAAGTGGAGAGAAAATGAAAGAGTTTCACTAAGGGTTAATTTGTAAATTTAGTATAAAAGGGTTGTGGTTAGTAAAAAACACGGCTGTATTTAGAATCTCCCTAAGTATTAAAGTGAAGGGATTCTTAACATATGAATGTAACATAGAATCCGACTTATTGTATAGTAACATGTTGATTTAAGGGATGATCTTTTGACGAAAACATAATACGGAGTATTGGATAACAAAGGTGTAAGGTTTCAAGGGATCAACTCTTCGATATTAAACTACATAAGGCACCCGGGTCAAATTTATGGCAAAAGGCAAACAGCAGTGATAGTTCTTTTTTACTTGAATAGGTATGACAGATTAAATTTTCTATTAAATGGGATTGATCATTGTAAAGTACACAACGGATGCAATTAACTCAAATAACAAAATAAAATCAATATAGGAAACTCACTATCTGGCCAGACACAAAGTATACACTTCCATTTTAAAAAATACGGAGTAGCAAAATGTCTTGTATTTCATCAAGACAGTATGAAATTACCATTAACTCGGCTACCATTCATGTCTTTCAAGAAATATATGGCCATAGATGAGATGCTACCGCCAATGATTGAGAAGAGTCACTTGAAAGAAAGACAAAGCTGAACACAACAAGAACACACTTGTATTTGAAAACTAAGTATCACTAAGAAGTTCAGTAATACACTCAGCAAATTATTATGACGTTTGAGTAATGTTTTCAAACTTAATGTGACAACTGACAGACAATTAGTTCAGAAAAAAGTTCATATGGACATGTCAGCAAACACATACTCCCTCCGTCCCATTTTAGTTGTCCTACTTTCCTTTTTGGGTTGTCCCAAAATGAATGTCTTGTTTTCTTTTTTGGCATGAAATATGTGATTCTTATTAATTCACTTTATTCTATTCAAATCTCAACCACAACTTTTTACTTTTCAACCACTTTATTAATAATCGTGCCAAATTGAAAGTGGACAACCATTATGGGACGGAGGGAGTAGCAATCAAACTAAAAGAAGGGGATAAAATGAAATAAACAACTACTTCCTCCGTCCCGAAGTATAAGATACTTTTCGGTTTACGATGTTTGACCGATGATAAAGTAAACAAATTCATGTGTGCATTCAAATTGATTTTAGAAAAAAAGAATTACATATTCAAAAACTACATTGAAATCGCTACAAAACCTGCAAAAAATAATTTAAATTTCATAAAATTTTGATATATAAAGTAAGAGATTAAGATTGATTTAAATCTTAAATCCATGACCGAAAAAATGTTATGTGAGTTGAACTCCAACAATTAATTTAGAAATGAAGAACCAACATGAACAAGGCAGAGTAACAGCGCTAGTTTAGGAGCAACTCAAGTTAAATATAAAACAAACATATAATTAAGTAGCAGAGTTCGGATTCCATTAAATCCAAGATGTGCTCAATATCAAGTTCAAAGTATTTATAGATGGATCATCAGGGAGTCTAGAGTTTCCCAACGGCAATTCCTCAAGTCCTCAACCATGTTGTCTGCCCAAAGCCCCAAATCAGTGAACGGGAAAAAGAAGACCACTTGGAAATGAAAGATCACGCATAAATAAGGCTGCCGGGAAATGAAGGTCTAAATGTTTAATGCATAGTATCATTAATTACTCAAATTAATCAAACGGGTGAAATATAGAAGTTCCAGAATACATATTTTTTGAAGTCATAAAAAGCCATAAAGCGCATCCAAAGCTAAAAATCCAAAGGGAGCAGTCTCATAAAAGTCTAGCTTCGACGAGGTCAATACATAACCAACCAAAACAGGAGTACTTTCTTTTATCACTCTCCAGCAAATATCATGGGAGGAGGTGCATATGGAGATCTTATCTGGGAGGAGGAGGAACCTGTAATTTTGCAAATCCAACCCATGTAACAATACCAACAGCAAGTATAACCCATCCAAATATATCATACTTCAGATCACTGCTCTTGTTCTTTGAACTCTTCGTAGTTGTAGAAGCAGAAGGCCCTGGCCTGCCCCCATAGCGTGTTGCATTGAACCATGCTGTGGATCTCGGTGTGCAATTCTGGAATCTGGATCCTTAGCTGCAACTTTTAATGATTTGTGGTAAAGATCATTCCCAAGTAGGTACTATGTTGGTTTTACCTTAGTCAAACAAAATGAGTTGTTTCAAATCTTACTGGCATGCAATACTTTCAAATATTGAAATTTGCCAATCATATTTGCAGTGACAAAGCTTTGTAAGCATTGAGTAATGTAACTACAATTTAAATTCAAAATTTGGGAAAATAATTTAAATATCACAAACTTTGAAGGGGTGTGAGATAAGTACTCCAAACTTGCACATGTAATATGTATACCCCAAATTTTATATAAAAAGTTATATTAGCACCATGATCATATATTTATTCACAAATATAACTTTCTGGCATTAAATACATGATTAAAATACACAAACCATATATTTATGAGGATGCTATGAAACTTAAATTGTCCCAGATGTAATATTATTTATTTCAAAAATATTATTTACTTATTAATAATGAATATAGTATTATAAATTATGTAATTATTCCAATAAATTTGTATTTGTAAAAAACATACAATAATGGTGCGGAAATAACTTTTTATATAAAGTTTGAGATATTTAAATTATTTTCCACTTTAAATTTTGAGAATTTAAATGTTAAGGCTGCTCATATTACACAGATACAGAAAACAATCATTCTTGGTTGATAAAAAATGTCTGCTATTTAAAATCAGTGCTAAAAATTTCTGAATGTTACTAGGTTGGGAGTTCATGTGTCTAATACATCCACCATTATGTTCCGAGAGAAACTGAAATTAATTGTTAGGAAATAAAACATTTCTCAACTATTTTATAGGACAAAAACAATCTCTGGTTCTTTATTTAATTGATGATGTGTTTTATAGTACAATTTCGACATAGATCCAGGGTATAATCGGTTCTCAAACAATATTCCAAATCAATTTAGTCCCATAAGGCATAAGCCATAAGTTTCAGCCTCCGTATCAGCTTAATGCATTGATCGAATGACTCTTATCCTCCTGAATTATACTAACCTGCATTAAGGATCTCACATCTCATTCCAATTTTTTTAACACTCCTATTGTTTCAAGTGAAACCACTGAAACTTGTACTACACACATAGGAAGGGAAATGAATCCCCAAGTGTCCATGATAATTCTAATACTTCTGGATCTTCAACTACTAAAAGAGATTAGAGTTCAGAAGAAGATGTTAGAATTATCAAAGCATAATTATATATTTCTATGTATCCTGGAGTCACTACATATAAGTTACTTTAACTAAAGTCACTACATATAAGTCTCTTAATCAATTTTTATTTTAGTCACAATATGTAAGAATTTCAATAACTTAAGTACAAACAAGCCTAGTAAACGGTAACGTAGCACATGTGGTCAAAATGCATTTAACTTTTATTTCAGCTTGAACTTGTTAGTGTGATGATCTTTTACTTTAAAAAGGTTATTCAATAGATTTCTAAAACTACATATTGTAAATTCTTAATATAAATAAAAGCATCTGCACCTATAGATGGTAGAGGATGTTACTACCTCTGGAGTGCATCGAAAACATCTCTATTGGGTAGTTGAGAGAGGATAAATATTTTCCACATGATTGCATAAGACGTGTGTATATTCATCCCTCGCCTTCTTAAGCTTCTTACGAGTGCGAGCATTGGCATCGAACAAAAACAGATCTTCTCTTCCTAGTAGGAGCACACTTCTACCAACTGATCCCCAAATCTTCTCAAACTTCATCGAAAATGTGCACCTCAAAGACCAATTTTGGTCCAAGACCCAAAATGAGCACTCCGGATGCGGGACTGCATTGCGCCAAGACACAACCGCCAAATTTGATCCGGCCTCTATTAATCGGGGGGGAGTATTGTAAAATGGAGAGAAATATGGGGGGGTTTCAATGGTCCCAAATTTCTCACTTGTCAAATCGAAGAAACGGATATGGATTTGGTCATAGTAGTATATTTTTCCGTCAAGATAAATCGAATTCAATCTAATGAGCGGATATGGTGAGTTTGGTACATGACTCAGAGATCTCCACGATGAGTTTCTTTCTAAGGTGAAAATTTGGCAACCTCGAATTTGGCCGTAAATTCGGCCGCCGCCAATTGGGCCGAAGTGAAGCACTTTGTACTTTTTTTTGGCAGGATCGAAGCCAAGTGCATATGTACTGAAAATTCCAGGAATCGGCGGCTGCGGCAGATCTCTTTTCTCCCCTGTGGACAGATTGTAAACTATGTTGTGGCTGTTGCGGCTTCCAGGACGCCGTCCTCTGCTGCCGAAACAGATGAGTCCATTGACGGAGTTGGAGCAAGGCATATGAGTGCGAAACAGGTCTGGATTTGCGGGAACCCAGGAATTTTTTAGAACGAGACTTTGATCTGCTGCAAACGCCCCAGTATTGGTCATACAAAGAACATAAGAGGCTGTAGGCTGAGCCCGGGAATGCGACAGATGTGATTCTGCGAAATCCGGATCTCGTATTAAACGCGTCCAATCTTTACAGACGCATTTGAATTGCATTAGCACTCTGGCGGGAAGCCTTTTCAGGATGTGAGAGATGATATCATCATGCAATATCTGATGAGATGCTTCAGCTACGTTCTTATCGTTGCCGCGGGTCTTGATTTTCTTCCTCGCCATTAGGTTTAGAATGACGAGTCTAAGCGCAAGAAACAAAGCCCGGTTTAGACTTTAGAGCATTGAGGAGGTCATGGCCCCGCAGTGGGGGAACTAGACCATCTAAACAAACAAATTTATACTCTGTAATAACATTGTCTTAGCAAACCACACCAATCCCTAAAAAAAACAGCACCAATCTGAAAATAAAAATAATCAATTCAAACTATTATAAATTCATGATTTTATACCAATAAAACATAATCATTAGATTTATTTCAAAATATTTTACACAACAAATTTTTCAAATCATTTATGATTTGTAAAAATTAAATAATGAAATGCCTTATACGTAGTATTTAATTTAAGCTACCGGAAAGGCGGACGACAGACGGAGGACGGCGGGACGAGCTCTCTCCGGGAGCCCTGGCCGATGGCAGTCCGGCGTGGCGACGTGCCTCTGCTGCTTCCCTGCTCGCGGTCCGGATAGGGTGTGACGACGTTTCCAATCTGGAAGATAGAGTCAAGGCTGCTGGATATTGGGCAGTGGACACTTGGGGCTGTAGGCTTGGTCTGTTTGCTTGGCAATTGGGCCTTTCCTGGCCCTAACAGCCCAAGCTTTTTTTTCCCTAGTAGTGAAGCGACGTCGTGCGATTAAAAGAAAACCCCCAGCCAACCACACTTAGGTGCTGTTCTGTTGGTCTTATTCTTATTATTTATTGCTTATTCTTATTTTATTCAGATCAGATCAGAAACATTCAGATCAGATCAGATCAGAAAAGTTTTCACTTTTATTATTATTATTATTCTTATTATTATTGTTGTTGTTGTTGTTGTTGTTGTTATTATTATATTATTATTATTATTAATTTTATTATTATGAAAATATTATAATAATAATATGATTATTATTATTATTATAATATTATATTATAATTATATGAAATTATAATTATAATTATAATTATAATTCTTATAATTATTAATATAATCAATTATAATTATTATAATTATAAGTATAATTAATTATAATTATAATTAATTATAATTACAATAATAATTATAATTATAATTACAATCATAATTACAATTATGATTATGAATATAATTATAATATAATATTATAATTATATAATACTTATTATAATAATAATAATAATCATATTATTATATTATTGTAATAATAATATTAATATAATAATATCATTATAATAATATTAATTGTATTTATATTACTATTATTATATTATAATATTATAATTACTGTTAATATAATTATAATTATTATTATTTATAATTATAACATTTATAATTATACTTATAATTATATTATAATTATAATTTATGATTATAATTATTATTTTTATTATAATTATTAATAATAATATTATTATTACTATTGTAATTATTTTACGGAGTAATTATAATAATATTGATAACTATAGTTACAATTATAGGGATTAATATTGTAATTATAATTACATAAGTAATTATAATAAAAAATGTAATTACAAATATAATTATATCTATATTTATAATTAGTGTAATAGGTATAACTTTTTACATTTAAAATTTAATTTTAATTATAATTATTATTATTATTATTATAGTTATGATTATAATTATAATTATAATTATAATTATATTTGTAATTACAATTATAATTATAATTATAGAAATATTCAAATCAGATCAGATCAGAAGGATTCAGATCAGATCAAAAACATTCAGATCAGATCAGAAAGATTCAGATCAGATCAGAAAGATTCAAATCAGATCAGATCAGATCAGATGAGAAAGATTCAGATCAGATCAGATCAGATCAGAACTTAAAAAAATCAGATCAGAAACATTCAGATCAGGCGAAGAGAACAGCTTCTTAGGGTCTGTTTGCAACAGCTTCTACTTTTAAAAAAGGGAAAGTTCCCGAAATAGGACTAAAACAGTTTGAAAATTCCAAAATAGAATTGTCATGTTTTTTATTCCCAAAATAGGAGTAATTACTGTCAAGTTTGCAAAATACTACCATGTTTGAAGTCTGGTATTGCCAAAACATGACAGTAGTTAGTCCTATTTTGGGAATAAAAACATGGCAGTTCTATTTTGGAATTTTCAAATCTTTTTAGTCCTATTTTGGGTAAATTCTCTTTAAAAATGTTTTTTTAATGAAATGGGGAGAAGTGATTAAATAAAAGTTGATAGTGTTTGAGAAAAAAGTAATTTTGAAAAGTAAAAGTGGGTAGTGTTTGGTAAAATAAGTGCTTTTTGTGTAATAGAAAAAGTAAAAGCACTTTTGACGCGGAAGTCGAGAAAAATAAAAGTTGTAGTGTTTGGGAAAATAAGTGTTTTTTAAAGTCAAAAGCTGAGAAGTGCTTTTTCAAAAGTAGTTGCAAACCAACCCTTATACGATCGTCCCCCTATCCTTTGAAGTTCGAACTGCAGTTGCAATCCTGGAAAAATGACGGAAAAACGGAGAGCAACAGTCCGGCAGCCCCCAATCTTTCCTACATGCTATATTGTACGGAAGAAGCAGGGGCATCAGCCCCCCTACAGATAGAGTTCTATTTTGTTCACCCCCTTCATGGAGGGTGAACATCACCCCCTCCCTCCAACACATGACACTTGGCAAGACTTTTAAATTTTGCAATTGTAATGTCAAGTGTCAAGTGTTGGAGGGAGGGGGTGATGTTCACCCTCCATGAAGGGGGTGAACAAAATAGAACTCCTACAGATGAGTTCTATTTTGTTCACCCCCTTCATGGAGGGTGAACATCACCCCCTCCCTCCAACACATGACACTTGGCAAGACTAGACTAACAAGTTATAATCCAAGTAAAAACATCATTACCCATTTTCTTTCAAATTGTGCACCAATATCTTTACATGGGTTTAATATACTTTAATCTATCAGGCATAGATTACAGGATCATGGAGGGCAATCGCCCCCTTAGACATTCAAAGTTTTCGATTATATACGGAGTATGTACTATTTTCAAAAAATATATACTCCTTTTGTTCCATAAATTCTTCTTGGTTTGACGTGGATTGAAGTTTAAGAAACTAACAATAAAACAGAAACGTATGATTGCGGTTGAGTAAGAAAAATGTAAATAAATGTTACCCACACTAAACTTTTCAAAAAAATTGGGAATAATTTTTGTGATATCCCAAAATTGTAAGTGAGAGAGATTTTATGGGATGGAGGGAGTACTAGCTTTATTTAGATATATACTCCCCCCACCGTTAAGTTCTAGTTTTCAAAATTAATTTACATTCTTACATAATATAATATTGCGAAAACTGTCAAGTATATCCTCCTTACTATGTACGAAATGTCGATCACGCCCTTGTACATTAAAAGCACTCAATTGAATCCTCAGACTCTTTTTGTGTGAAAAAAATAGAACTAAGAATCCTCCAACACTTAGAAAAACGCTCAATGGGCTATTTAATTAGCATGTTACCAATCAGTCTCGTAGTTAGCTACATGTACATGACTAAAAAAGGATATTTGATACTGTTGAATTTAATCCAACACGATATAGTAAATATATGTATAAATGTGTATGAACAAGCTCGGTTTTTACGTGGAAACCCGAAAGGGAGAAAACCACGGGACTTTTTAGGCTAATGTCCAAGCCCTCTCATTCTCATTAGTCTCTCCTCACCATTACATAGTACAAGTATTGAAGCTCCCATTAATGGAGTTCTAAGCTATTCTAGAGAGAAGGAGGAAGAAGGAAAAGATCCAAAGGCCCTTTACATGGAGGGAAAACCTCCTATAAATAGGGAAAGGGGTGAGGGAAGTACTCCACCCTAATGGGCCAAACGGGCCGATGTCGGGCCTAATGGCCAAAGTGGGCCAGAATGGGCCGAAATGGACCTAGCTGCTCGGGCTCCGTACTGGATAATGTCCTGGGCTCCTGAACAGTAATAGGCCGGGATAATATATCCCAACACAAGTCCCCCAGTTTCTTGAGTAGTGAGTGCGCGAATCTGCTCGAGAAAATATACTCTGCCTGCGCTCTTCCTCTGTCTTGCTGGAAACTGTGTCTTCACATAATCATAATATATGAGTGAGTGTCTGCACTCATGAACGTAATCTACCAGTGAGGCACCCCCCTTTTCGACAGGGTCGGGCGAAGGGTGCTCCTCCACGGGCACACTCCCCCTGAATGCATCAGGCGGGAGTAAAGCACTCTGACTCGAGCTTTCCAATCGGAGAAGCTTAGAGGTCCATGCATCTATAAACTGACGTCGCGGTACTGTCAAGACACGATGCACGTGTGTATGTATGAATGTATGAGGTATGATGCATGAATGCATGAATGCATGTAATGTATGGGTGCAATGTATGAGAGAAGGAATGTGAGATGTGATAAAAAGCGGTGGCTCTCATCGATAAACCGGGCATGTCAGCGCCGAGATGCAGACGTGCTGCATAAGATGGTCGTCGCCATCCTAGAATGGATGGGCGATCCGGAGATGAACTTGATACAATGGCATGGAGGGGCCGATTGTGTTGCATAAGAGATGTTCGTCGCCATCTTGGAAGGGATGGGCGAGCCGAACATGAGCCAGACACGATGGCACAGAGGCGCTGATCGTGCTGCATACGAGACGTTCGTCGCCACCCTGGAAGGGATGGACGAGCTGAACGTGAGCTGAATACGATGGCGCTGAGGGGCCGATCGTACTGCATAAGACGGTCGTCGCCATCCTGGAGGGAATGGGCGAGCCGAACCGTGAATCTGGACACGATGGCGCTGAAGGGCCGATCGTGATGCAAAAGACGTTCGTCGCCACCTTGGAAGGGATGGACGAGCTGAACGTGAGCTGGGTACGATGGCGCTGAGGGGCCGATCGTACTGCATAAGACGGTCGTCGCCATCCTAGAGGGAATGGGCGAGCCGAACCGTGAATCTGGACACGATGGCGCTGAAGGGCCGATCGTGATGCAAAAGACGTTCGTCGCCACCCTGGAAGGGATGAACGAGCTGAACGTGAGCTGGGTACGATGGCGCTGAGGGGCCGATCGTACTGCATAAGACGGTCGTCGCCATCCTAGAGGGAATGGGCGAGCCGAACCGTGGATCTGGACACGATGGCGCTGTGGGGCCGATCGTGAGGCATAAGACGTTCGTCGCCACCCTGGAAGGGATGGACGAGCTGAACGTGGGCTGGGTACGATGGCGCTGAGGGGCCGATCATACTGCATAAGACGGTCGTCGCCATCCTGGAGGGAATGGGCGAGCCGAACCGTGAATCTGGACACGATGGTGCTGAGGGGCCGATCGTGATGCATAAGACGTTTGTCACCACCCTGGAAGGGATGGACGAGCTGAACGTGAGTTGGGTACGATGGCGCTGAGGGGCCGATCGTACTGCATAAGACGGTCGTCGCCATCCTGGAGGGAATGGGCGAGCCGAACCGTGAATCTGGACACGATGGCGCTGAGGGGCCGATCGTGAGGCATAAGACGTTCGTCGCCACCTTGGAAGGGATGGACGAGCCGAACGTGAGCTGGGTACGATGGCGCTGAAGGGCCGATCGTACTGCATAAGACGGTCGTCGCCATCCTAGAGGGAAT